GTCGAGCATATGAACTTCGTCAATAAAAAGAACCTAACAAATTACAAATATGTAAACCATGCATTTAATAAGTTGCATCACCGATAGCGTTAACTTACGCCAGGAACGATTTCTGCTTTTCCTTCTTCCCTCCATTCAGTAACCTTTGTATTTATTTGTTCTCGCACTTCGGACTTGATTTCACCAGTATCACCTATCAACAAAGATAAATATAGGTTTTTCTACCATTTATTAAGAATTTTTATATAAACTCACCTGAAAATAATGCCAAAAATCCTTGCGTTCGACTATTGATCACATCAATTTCGTGTAACGAAACTGTATGAACCACTTCTCTGCGTTTTTGTAGTTCACCTTCGGGGCATTGTACAAATTTTGTCTACATAAATATGGATGATAAATATGATTCTGATTTTATGAAAAATAATTCAATAACAATCACAAAATGATCTCTTGCAGTAGAGGTGCGCCATTAATAAATTGTATTATCACTCGTATTTTCGCGTAATAACGCCCACATACGCATTATTTTGAGCATATGTGCATTATTTCGAGTACGCGCATGCCGTTATTTTGAGATAAAGGCTAAGGTGACATTTATGTGATTTGCTAATTAATATCAAATAATTCAATATGTAGCCTTATACGATTTTACACGGAATGCGTGTTATTTTGAGCCATGTATGCTATTGATTTTCTGAGCAACGTCCCTGCCCATTATTTCGCGAAAATACGGTAATTTATTATAGAATAGCATCAACTATATTGCGAAAACTTACGTCTGCTCCCATTGCATCATAATCCCTAGCACGCGTAAAGGAACGACCTAGTTTTGATATCTTTCCGGACGCCTTGTCCAATGTAATAACGTCACTATTTATATTCATAGGCCATATAAAATATACGAATGAATGTAATCTTTCCTTCCTTTAGAAAAAAAAAATCGTTTATAGTCGAGCATATGAACTTCGTCAATAAAAAGAACCTAACAAATTACAAATATGTAAACCATGCATTTAATAAGTTGCA